ATGGAAGTGACCAGAGATTTTCTACCGTGCAGATCTACACAAAATGTGCTGTTCCAAAGCTATTTGTATAGCTATTTTGCTTCATATTAAGTAATTAGTATTAAGTAACTAGTTGGTCAGTATGAAAATAAAGGATAATGGGTAGCACATGAAGTTCCAATCAAAGAAAGCGCCAGTTTTCGTCAGATGAAACAAAATTAAAAAAAGAAAGATAAATGTGTCTTATCTAATGGAAAAGTCGCCCCATGACGTAATTCCGCCGCCCTCATATGTCAATATTATTAATTTATTACAATTGTCAGCATATTATTGTCAGTATTAAGACGAGTAAAGGATATTAGGAACGAAATTTACGATTTTATTGAAGGTTTCGCTAAACGTTTTAACATGACGTCACAGCGCTGTGCCTCGCCTGGAATACTTCGCTGTTGACGAAGTGAAATGATTTATAATCTTCAAGAGACAAAAACGCACCTATGAAATTCACGAAGTAGACATAATTCCACAGATTTAGGCCACAAATAAAATAATAAACGCTAACAAATGTTCAGAAATCCAGCAGACAAGAATAAAACAAACACTCTGATGGTATCCTGCTGGTTCTTTGTTCAGCTCAATGTTGTAAAATATCCGCGTTGCGTTAAATGCATTTTTGTCGGTCTAATGCACTTAACTACTTCGTATTACTCATTTCATCTTGTGTCGAAAACTTTGAGATATATATTGAGAGCTGGAAAACCTAAACTAACGCTCAGGTTAAAGGTTAATACCACATCAAAGCACTTTAACATTTACAGTCATTTTTTAACCGTTCGCTAGCGAAGTATTTACATATTTTCTTTTCAATTTTAACACAATAAATAAATTAGTTCAGCTTGAATGTTCTTATTTCAAAAGAAAATATGTAAATATTTCGCTAGCGTAAGCAACCACCTTTCTGCATGTGGAAATCAAGCCTTATTAACGCCGTGAAGTTACCTTACGCTTTTATAAAACTTAAACTAATTTTTATGTGATCTCTATTTAAAGGTTAGTAACTGACTAACAATTTATGACATTGTTTTGAAGACCAACAATGCATAAGATGAGATGAATGGTAATTTCAATAGAGATTGCTTTGTTCTTGTGATATAAACTGACTATAAATTCTTGGTTGAAAGCCTCTGAGGAAGGAAAGGAGTCAATTTGACGGTGGAATAAACAGATTTGAAACTAGTGGGTTATAAAACAGGACAATGGTTGAGACATGAAATTCGATTTCATATGCCAGTTTTCGTCAGATAAATGTGTCAATTTCTACCATAAATGACACGCTATGACCTAATCTCACAACCTTAACTTTAATTCACTTTTACTACAGTTAATTATTGACAACCAATATGATATGCTATAGTAAGACGAATAAAGGATATTTCGCAGCAAAATTTTGGATTTTATTCAAGGTTTTTCTAAACGTTTTAACATGACGCCAGAGCGCTGTGTCGTGTCTAGCATACTTCGCTGTTGACGAAGTAAAATGATTTATAATCTTCAAGAAAGAAACAAGAACGTACCTTTATCAGTTCTTGAAACCCATAATCCAACTACGTTGCCATAATTCAGCCAGATTTAAGTCAGAAATAAACCAAATAGACGCTAAGAAATGTACACAAACCTAGCGAACAAGAATACACCAAACACTCTGATGGTATCCTGCTGGTTATTTAATGAACTCAAGTCATGCATTCGAAATTGTCGTTGTGTGGGTGTCATACAGGGTGTGTCAAAAACAATATAATTTGCATACGTTTATATTGCAGAAAACATTTCAATATCAGTGCGACAAATTATGCTTCTGATATTTGACGTATTTGACATTAGAATAACCACACAAAGTTTAATTACGGAATATCCAAGCATGGATTGTGTTCACGCACCCTTTGGATCAATTAGTGATAAATTACGCCAGTTGCAGTTTTCTAAAACACCTTGCAGAACCAGTGTAATTGTGTTATAGTCTAATTTTCTTTGTTAATATTCCTTATTACTGATTTTGTCTTGTGTCGTTGAGATCTTCCTCATTGAAAGCTAGGATCCTCCTCGTATGGAAGTGACCAGAGATTTTCTACCGTGCAGATCTACACAAAATGTGCTCTTCTAAAGCTATTTGTGTAGCCTCAGAAACATAAATGTGGAGTTACCAATTGAATACAGGATTGGTCAAAAAAGCCTTTATGTGAATTTTAATCAATATCAGAATATCAGTAGCGGACCAAGGCAAGAACCCATGCAGAGAAACTCCATTTACTTAGCCCCGTTTATAGAACAAATATTTTTAGTACGGCACCATTAATTTTTCCAAGGCAGGCCAAAAGAAATTGGCGCCGTAACTAAGCCTGTTTACGCGTTATTTTTCTTTTTAAGCCTGAATACCACAAAATTATAGAAAGCACCCAATAGAATATTTTTGGTACCCATAACCACACCCCAGTTGCTATATATATATAAGTCAGCAGATTAATAAAGCAGAGATGCATCAATTGAAGCAAATTAACATGGTTTAGTTGACAAAATAAAAGAAATAAGGGCAACTTGTTAGATCATCTGGTAATCAAGCCATAAAGGCCTTCTAAAAAATTTATCCTTCGAACAAAAAACGAATCTTTTACTTCGTGTTATAGTGTCGGTATTTTTGCATTTTATAACTTGTTGAATGACTTCAGCACCCTAGGCTTCTATTAAAACATTTGTTTTCGTATCAAACCAGAGCTTTTCCTGCTGTTCTTTCCCGCCATTTTGCAGTAATTATTTAATCTCCGCATGATCAACAATAAAAAATTGCTGATGAAATCAAAGAACATTCGAGACCGACCCTCGCTCAAATCCGATATGAGATAAATTCAGCGGTTAATAATAATAAAGTGACGATATTCAATAAGATTCAAAAAAGAAATTTTCTAGAGAAGGTGTTCCAAACCCCCGACAACTCTCGTATCTATAAATTATCAATTTTTATAGTTAGAACTATTTGGTTCCGCTTCCACCCAAAACCTCACCTAACAATTTCCTAGAAAGACCTCGCGGTCATGAATATTCCTTCATTGGTTTCTGTTGTTTCCTCTGTTTTTTGAGAGTAATAGTGATTCAGGTAATTTTTTCAGCAAATCTGGCAACCCTGGTTCTTGGTGTGATTACCTCCAAGATGATATCTCGCCAGAAAACTTTACACCCATTAATTGCGCGTTACATAAGAACGTTAAAAACCACAGATATAGAAAATTAGAAAATTCAACAACTGAGTGAAATATGTAATAAAATGGTTAACGGTTTACAAATGATTACAAATCTATACAAATTACAATAAATGCTGGCAATAGCCTATGATTAAATATCAAGCAGATATGTACTTGTGTGTACCAGACACTTTCTAAGTCATAATATTCTATTTCAACACTTGATATTAGTTTGCTTGCAGATCAATAAAGTTGCGTGTTCGTTTATTAAAGACACCACGTTTTATTAGTTAACAAAACAAAGCTCTCCCATTCGTATGCTTTATACAGATATTTCATTCTCAGAGAAAATATTCACATCAGCTGGGTCTCCACTCGGGGAATTTATTCGCGCGACGCGAACCGGAATCTAAAAACCTGTGATGTGATTGGTCTGCGAATAAATTCCCCGCGAAAATGTAGGATCGCTTCCTAATTCTTTATCAGTTCGCGCGAATAAATTCTGCAAGTAGAGAACGGGATTTAATAGCACTTAGCGCTTGGGAATTATAAAGTTTCGCATTATTTTTTATAAAAAATACTACAAAAAGTTTTCTAGGAATAATCAGGTCCTATAAATTTCTTAAAATTCTTCTTCTGGGTCAGTTAAGTCCTGTTTCAAACGTCGTTCTTCTTTCAAGTGTCGAACGCATTAAAACGACGTTTGAAACACGCCTAAAATATTAATTGTTCTGTTGTTTCGTGACCTTCTTTTTCATGAACATCAGATGTTTTGAACTTAATATTATTCAAATTTCAGTCAAATTTTTACAATTTTCCAGCACCGCTTCAGACTATAAATATCTTCCTTCCCAGCTAAAAAACAAACGTTCCTCGTAATGTACATAGTTCTTGTAGTTCCATTAGGAGCGTAACTAAAACGATAATTGAGGTGGTGTTTATTCGCATATTCCGTTCTACCCGACGGATTTCTATTTTAAGCTATTTATTGCACTTACAAAAGAAATCCTTCGGGCAGAACTGAATATATGAATATTCAACGCCCCCCTCCCCAATTATCGTTCTAGTTCTTGACGCCACTGAGTTCCGTTATCTTTCTTTTTCATCAGCATTAAACTTCAGGAACAAAATACAGCTAATACAGTTACTACAATTTCTACCATCATTTTCATAAACAGCGCAATTACCATCAGCACCATCGTAGAGACCAGCACCATCACCACCATCATAGATGAGAATTATCACCACCAACATGACTGTAACTACCATAATGAACATCTTAAACAACACCATCATACGACTGACATTGGTCACAGTTTTTTAGGACTTGTTTCTTGTAGATGTATTTAAGATGTCACCTTTGTTTTGTTTAACAAACTGTAACCCCAGTTAGGGAGGCAAGGGAGGGCTATCACTTGCCCAAGGTGAACTCCCAGACAAACGGAGGGAAGGAGGTGTCTTACTTCTCCATTCTAGACCAGCTCCAAGCAAAGTCTAGCCGCTTCCCGAAAACAATGTTCTTCATGACAGTTTTTCATGTTATTGTTCACTAAATCCATTATGAAATATTCTGACTGAAAAATTAACTCCAAAACATCTGTCGTTCATAACAAAGTCTTTATCAACTAAGTTTTCTCCTATTGGTTTTCGTCCTAGTGTGAACGTGTCCATTTCAGTTATTTTTAAGAAAAAAGATATTCGCATTTAATTGGTATAAACAACTTGTCGGGAAACCCAACATGTAACAAAATATACAGTTTAAATTGTGTAGACTTTCTTAAAAGTAGTTTAAACCTTTTTCCGCAAGACGACTTTGTTCCGGTTAAAGAAAGGATTGCCCACTGCACCTCGCTTAATATCGTCCCACGAAGCAACTGCCCGTCGCTTAATATCGTCCAACAAAGGATTTGGTGGAATAGACAGTCGAAGAAACACCATATCACCTTTCTTGTCAGGAAAAGCCAGCACGTCCTCTTTTGGGGAAAGTTGAATTGTTTCGCGTAGCCAAAGAGTCTTGAAGTATGGTTGATAGGAAGTGTCGAGAATCGCGCCAGAGTCCATGTCACGAAATGCTATCATGTGATCAGATAAAGTTAATACAATTCTACTTTTGAGAATACAAAATGACCTCAAATAACAAGCGGACTGGATTGGAAAAGTTCTATTTTGAGAATCACCAGTGTCCAGATCAATTATCTGACTCTCACCAGAACTCCTGTCCACGAGTATTGCGACTTTGGAATCATTACTGAAAATTACGACATCAGGCAATCTGTCTGACCTTCCAGCAACACAGTGATAAAAGACTTCATACGAAGTTGGTTTTTCGGTATTTCTTTTCCAAATATAACATTCATTCTCATTCCACCCAGAGATAAAGGCTCCACCAGGCGAGATTTCCACTTCCATATCAGGCTCAATTCCAGGCAAATTGATCATTACAGGACCATCAACATCTCTCACATCGAGAACTTTCACGGGTCCTAACTATTCGGAAGCGAAGCTGGCAAAGCCTTCAGAAAAACGATCATAATATGGGCTGTCAAACCAGGTACCTAAACGACACAGCGCCACGTCCTGACTGTGAATAAACACGATCTCTAAATTGTCATCTACCGGGTATCGCGTTAATTTGGGAATCCTGTTAAATTGACTAAACACAAACAAGAAATCTTTCGACCACCAGCATAAAAACCTTGACCTGCATTTACTGCTTTTGAAACGTTGTTGAACTTGGCTGGTATAGACATTCCATACGTTGATATATCCATCTGAGTTGCAGCATGCAAGTCGAGAGCCGTCAGGAGAAAACGAACTCGAATAAACGACCTTTGGCTGTGACAGACAGGATTGCTCTTGTTTAGGAGCTAATGTCTTCAAGACAATTATTTTCGCTTCAAACAGCTTTTTTCATAATATGAATAGAGCCACAGATTATCTCCTAAAAGTGTCATTTTGCGTTGATAAAAAAAATTCTGTCGAGGAGCTGTAGCAAGATAGTTCCAAGCAACAATCACAGTCAAAGGAATACTTTCTGTGACACTCGAATAAGAATATTCATTCGGAGAAAAGATACACTCCACACATTTGCAGATCCACGGACACAAAATCCTATTACTTCTAGTCCTTATTTCTAAGTGTTTAAAATTTGGTTGCTCAAATCCCCGCTGAAAACATCGTTCACATTTCCTTCTCTTTAACACATCTGGTTTCTCCCTTTCCCCGTGAGATAATTTTCGCTTATCACTTCTTTGCAATGTGATGGCGTTCCAAACACAAAACGAAGATGAAGATTCTGAATTTGCAATAATAAATAACCCTGTGACGCTAAAAGAACACCAACCAACAAAAAATCCAGCAAAAAGCGACGACAGCAATTTTTGTTTAGCAACGTCCCATAGTTTAATGGTGCAATAGTTGCCAGTCACCAGTCTTTTGCCGTTAGGGGAAAATGCACAGGACAGGAACGTCTCTTCATTTCCAGGAAAAAATGGAACTTCCTTTCTTCCAGCAATGTTAAACGCCGTTTCCAGTTTACCAAATAATATGAGCGAATCGTCTGGAGAAAATGTGCAGCATGAATTTTTTTTCAATTTTGTCGAATAACTCATAATTTCAACTAAAGTTGGTAGGGATAGCACATGGATAAAATTATCTATTCCAACTGCTACACTTTTCTCATCGTTAGATAAAGCAACAGCTGTAATAAAACCAAAGTCACTGCATTTCCAGACTGCTCGCGGCAAAACCGAAACTTCGTAAGAATTCGACTCGACAAAAGGTGAAAGGTTTGATAGTAGCGTCTCTGCGATTTTCTTCTCATTATCGCTGAAACAACCTTCTGGAGAATGGGTAAGAATCGCTTGTAAATACGATTGTGAAATCGTTGAAATTATTGAATATTCGTCATAGGGCGACATGGAATCCAGGCGATCAACCAAACCCAGGGGACGGGCCAAATAGTCAAATTCAATGACATGGTACGAAATGCGGGCGCGTAAATCTTCGTTTTTAATCCAGGAACATTGCAGCAATTTGAGCCAGAAACGCAGCAATTCATGTAAATTGATTATTACAGTTGACATATAACAAACGATAATAACATCAACTGACCAAAACACACCTTCCTCCATTTCACACTTTTCTAGATGTTTTAAACCATATTTCAGAGCGTATTCCACGTCATTAGAAAAGTTCACCTCAAGTCCTGAGCGAACACCTTTATCTTTAATTTCTTTAAAAACCTTTTCGCATAAAAGCCAAAGCGATCTATGTCCATCATCGACCTTGACAGTATACTGGTGATCTTTGTAGCCCTTTGCTAGAAGCCAATCAATAACGGATTTGTGAAAAACGGTTAACATGTCATCTGAAACGTACAACAAGCACGATACGGTTTCATTAATTTTGTTGACGATTTTTTTCGTTTCGCGACAATCTGGAGCTAAAATCTGAGCGATAAAAGTGAGAGGAAGAGATCCTTTGGAAGCAGCCAGCATTTTCAAAATTTTCAACACATCGAACTTTTCATGTTTTATGGCGCTAAGCTCGTCTTCAATGGGTTTAAAATATCGTTCGTAAACAGAATTCAGTCCTTCTGGGAGAAACTCCATAACGTCGTTATTTGATATCTTTTCAAGATCATAGCGAGCCCTTAGCCCAGATTGAAAGTGATATGCATAGAGAAATGAGCCCTGGCATTTGGCAACAAAAACGGAAAGCAATTTTATTGGCCTAAAGGGGGAAAGATATGGATGATCCTCATAGAAATCATCTCTCATCTCACTTCGTTTCACTTTCCTGCCAACTAAACTTGGAAAACATTCTTCAAAATAAAGTTCAAGATCTGAGTTATTTTTGTCATCAACATTGGAAATGTCTGTCCTTTGCTCGTCTCTTAGTCTTAGATCAGCAACGGAAATCTCTGGCCTGCTCGTCACCAAGATTTTGATGTACTCGGGAAGATCAGGAAAATATTCAGCAATCAAATGAGTAATTTCATTCTTATTATCAGCAGCACTTTCATCCAAGCCATCGATCACAACTAAACGTGGCTCTTTTATTTCCAATTCAGCTAAGGGATTTTGTAAATATATTTGGAAGGCGTCTCTGAGATTTTTGACTTGATGCGGTCGCTGTAATTGGTCAAGGAGCTGCTTTTTAAAGCCAGGGACGCTCTTGCACATCTGACTTGCGAGAGACTGCAGCATCACCATAGGATCTCTTAGGTTTGAATCACTAAAATCACAAAAGTGACAAGCAGCCAGCTTTCCATTCTTCTCAAAATCTTCACAAATTTTAGCGGCAAACACGCTTTTACCAAATCCTGGTCCAGCTGTTATTAACTTTATTCTTGAGTCACTCTCACTTCTACAAAACCACTTGTCAACTTCTTTTGACAACCACTCTCTCGTTCCAGGTAGGAAAAATTTATTTTTCTTTTAATTTTATTTTTGAAATTATGCTTTGCAAGTTTTCGCAAGATATCTTCATCACTTTCTCGGCGATTTTCCTCTAAAGCTCGGGTCAGATCATCTAAAATGCCTTCAACACTTCTCAACTGTTTCAGGATTTCGACATAATTTTCATCCTCAGGCCCCAAGGATGAAGTTTTTATTTCGTCGACATCACTCTGTGAAACGCCCAATTCTACGATCCCCTGCGCAATTTTCTTCCATAAAGACTCAAATGTTGAATTGTCAACTCGAGTTGTTGTTACATGTGCATAAACTTCATTTCTGTATAACTTGATTCTTGTGATATTCGCTTGCATTGATCTATCCCAATCCGAAGGCATTACATCCCATATTGTTTTTGATGGGAAACCACAAATGTTCCGGAATAGAACTGTAAGTAATGTCACATCAAAGTTTTTGGAATCTGGTGGGTTGCCAGACGGAGGAAACAGTAAATCCCACTGGGAATTAGGAATAATTCGAGGTTTTAACTTTTGAAGAGATGTTTTGTTTGCAGCCAGTACTCCAGGTAGACTAACAGGTGGATGGATGGTATCAAATGTATTTCTCAAAGCCTCAGTTCCTTTGTCAACTAAAAGTCTACTGAGTTTCGTAAAATTTTCCTTTTCTTGCCGATCGACAGAAGCCATGGCATTGCACGAAGTTTTACTGCAACAAATGGGTGTTAATACTAGATGGTTTCGTTAGAAAAACCATTTGGGTTAGAGCTTCCTATGTCTAATGCTAATGCATGAACTATAAAATTACAGTAAGCGGCAATTTTTAATAGACACGTCTCTATTAATTATTAACCACAGACTTCATACGTTATAATAAGGGCAATAAAATTTACGAATTTGCGTTTTCCGAAGTGTTAAAATATTTTAAAAACATTACATCACAATGCAGTGCCCTGACTAGCCCAGTGAGATAACATATGAAATTTTTCACCAAAGTTGCTGAAATCGATTTTGACTGCCCCATCCTAGTCTAAATGTGGCCCTTAAATGTGGCCCAAAATAAAGCGGGGCTGTCCATGTGTCTCCGACCCGATCTTGTATAAATGTACATTAGATATTGTTAAACACTGGATTAAACCTATACTTGGCAATAAAATTTGCTCACTTATGTTCAAAGAATATTCGAGGCCGATCCTAACTTAAATCCGATTCAAATGCCTGATGAAACACGCTATTTATTAACTTTAACATGATCGGTCATGGAAAAATGGAGAAAAAAAGAAATGAAATTTGCGACATTATTTAAGGTTTTGCAGGACAACAATTTACAATCTTCAAGCGACAATTCTATATCTTTCCACAGCGTCTATATTCTACAGAATTTAGTCGAAATGTACTGACAAATGGTCAGAAATGTTCACAAACCAGGCGATAAAAAAACATCACTCACTTTATTCTATCCTGCTGGTTATTTATCGAGCTTGCACGGGTATGTGTTTTTTAGATGTGCTTTTTTAGGGTTTTTAAAGGCTTCTTAAATTATTGTGGTATAAACAGACTATAATTTCTTGGTTGAACGCCTCTGCAGAAGAAAAGGAACAATTTGATAGCAGAATAAGCTGAGATTTGTTTAGGAATCTAGTTGCATGGTCAGAATGAAAAAACAGGATAATTGTTAAAACACGAAGTTCTATTCAAAGCGCTAGTTCTCGTCAGAGGAAACATATGAAATATAAATGTGGCATATTTAAGCAAAAAGACGACCCATGACGTAATTCCACCGCCTTTATGTCAACATTATTACGGTCACGAAAAACAATTTGCTAGAGCGAAATTATTGACAAACAACATGATATGTTATAGTAAGAAGAATGAAGGATGTTAAATTTACAACTGATTTTATTCAAAGTTTTGCTGAACGTTATAATATCACGCCACAGCGCTGTGCCGGGCCTAGCATACTTCCGCTGTTGACGATATAAAATTACTCACAATCTTCAAGAAAGAGATAAAAACGTAACTATGGCTACGAAATCTGATCATTCACGACGTAGAAATATAATTCCACAGATTTCGGCCACAAATAAATTGATCAACGCAAAGAAATGTTCACAACTCTAGCAGACAAGAATAAACCAAACGCTCTGATGGTATCCTGCTGGTTTAATTGTTCAACTCAATGTTCTAAAATACCCGTGGTGTTAAATGCATCGGCCTAATGCGCATAATTACTTCGTATTACTGATTTCATCTTGTGTCGAGATCTCTGATATATATTTTGAAACCTGGTAAAACCACAACTAACGTTGACTTCAAACATTGAGTTCAACACCAAGTACTTTAAAAACTATCGATATTTTACTGAAAAAAACAATTCAAAACAAATTAACCATTGTCAATAATATCAATGCACCCACACAAACATATTAACACATGCATTTTTAAGAGGAACGTTGACACTCGAAAATCTCACATGAGTAAATGATACTTGCTGATGATCCCAACACTTTCTAGTGCTCTATGATCAAATAATTTCATGTGAAATACTTTTCATTGAATATTTATCAGTAGTTTTTTAGATATTTCAGTTCCAACTTAAATTATATGTTAATATTAGATTAGTTATTGCCGCTCCAATATAAATATCAGCTGAAATGTACTTCTGAAGGCAACAATGAGATCGTGAAAATAAATTTATACAAGGAATTAAAATATAAAAACGATCCGAAGGCGCTGTCTTCTGCTTAATTCACAGTCGTAGTCGTAGAAGAATTAGTCAAAGCTAATGTCGAGCGAAACTTCTCAATGCCGTGATGCAATTCTATATTAATCAATTAATTACTTATTTCATGTGACGTCAAAATTTGGTAATAATTCCATGTTGAATAGATCCTAAATACACGAGTTTAATCCCTGAGTTAAGGTTAGGATTAGATTTAGGTGTTTAAATTTAGAATTACGTCATAAAACCGGTTTATTGCCTAATTCCATATTCTGCTCATTAACGTGGAGTTATACAGTACGCCTTCATAAAAATTATTTTTACATGATCTCAATTGAATGCTTAGTAATTGACTAACAACTTATCACATTGTTTTGAAGATCAACAATGCATAAGATGAGATAAATGGAAGTTTCAAAACAAGGCATTCGAACTATTTGATACGACGCCACAGCACTGCACCGCGCTTCTTTGGTCAACTGGATGTACAAGACGTAAAAGCCAACTCCGCCCGGTAGTTTTATTCCAGTCATTTTATAGTTTCAAAACTTATGTCAAATTAATCCACCTTACCTAGTTTCTTCTTCTTTTTCAGTTTTAAATCTTTCAGACAGCTTTGTTCTTGTGATATAAACAGACTATAAATTCTTGGTTGAAAGCCTCTGAGGAAGGAAAGGAGTCAATTTGACAGTGGAATATTGGAAAATGCAGGAAATCAAGTCATTGAGACTCAAAAATAGAAAAAAATTTCTGGGGAAGGTGCTCGAAACCCCCCACTACTCCCGCACCTGTAAATCAATTTCTAGTTATTTGGTTCAGCCCCCCCCCCCACACACGCTCAACACATAACGATTCCCTAGAAAAGACCTTAGAATGTCGTGCAAGTGTCATGTAGTTATGGAATTTGTATATTTAGGGGGTCATTTTCATTAGCAGAAAGTTCATATTATTCATTTCATTGTAAAAATATGGTCGATTATAGTGTATAAAATATATATTTCGTTTCCAGGAATGTTGAATTAGTTAATAATCAATTGCAACCGTGTATATACAGAACGAAAGATTCAGGGTCTTTGGTATAAATAAAATGAGTGGCGATAACCTGA